TAACTGGCAATTAATTTGAAGTGTTTCTTTTACTCTGTCAGCTCTAGAGAGGCCTACAATATCTATAGGGACACGTTAATTATATCTCTAAAATGTTACATTTCATTTTGTGAGTGGGTCCTGTTATCAACACAGACATTGCATTAAATATATGCCATGCAGCAAAACTGAATAATTTAATAAACATGCAATAACATGTTAACCAACTGTATTTCCCTCAGGATTACATTATGAGATTATTGTTATTAAGAAAACTTTCTCAGTAACAGAACATAAATAGTACAAATGATAAGACCCGCAAGGCTTCCAAAGCTCAGTGGAAGGCTTTAAAATTGATTAAAATTGTTGTTAGTTATAAGGGATCACAGCTTGCAATTAATCAGCCAATACTTCTCCAAGCCCAAGCTAATGCATGCTGATTCTAAACCAATCAATGAGAGCAGTTTCAAAAGTTTCTATTAAATTGAAAGCTTTAATAAATATGTGCATCTAACAAAGCATGGTCTATTTTCTTGTAGTACCTTAATAAAGCTTGATGAAATGTCAGTTTTCCAAGGCAAATGATTAAAGTATATTTGTCAGAAGATATTGTACATGATGATTTTTCTCATAATAGTGTATTTCTTGGTAATCATACCTGTAGGCTTGTTTATGGTAGGTAAATCCAACCATGAAATTGTCTTTCTTTAGACAAACATATAAGGTCATATTGACTGTATAGTGTTTATGCCCTATACAGACACACACAAGGTAGGTTTGAACTCTGGGCAATTGGCAAGATGTTGACAAGATGCTGGTCAGAAAAAATTACACCTGCCCATTCTATTGTCTCTCTGGGATCTGTTAACCAGGGATTTCATGTTTCGTTCTTTGTTCACAGGATGGCAGAATTCCATGGATGGTGATTCTATTTTTGAGGCTACTAAGTCTTAAAGAGCCATCTCATCAGCAAAGTGTATTGCTTCCTTATTAAGGCACCTGTTTCTCCTGGATATGGAATGCATGTGAGTTACTCCTGACACAAGAAGAGATTTCCAGAACCCCCTCACCTGGCTTACCTATTCCTATGGCAGTTGTCTACATCTCAGCCAGTAAATATCTAGTGCAGGGCTACCAGCTACTGTGCATTAACAAGTTCAGGGGTGATGGGTAAGCTAAATATATTTATACAAAGCCTATGTCGCTATTGATTTTTCCATGTTCACAGTGTTCTGACATTTAAGCAATGCTATATGCATCCAATCATGTGCAAGCAAAAACCACTTTATTGTTCATTTTGGCCGGCTTTCCAAAGTATTAGATCAAGCTTGGCTGTTACCAAACACAACTCCATGGAAACCTCTGAAGATAAGCACTTTGCTGTTAGAAAGACTTGTGTGTCAGTATCTCTTTTTGATAAATGTCATTTGAGAGGTAGGATCAGAGGATAACCTGCACCTTGGGAGTCAGTCATATATCCACAATACAATGGTAAACAAAAACCACCTGGTCTTAAGCCTTAGGCAAGCCATAGTCAAAGTAAATTTCTTTCCCGCAACCACGGGTCGATTCCCCTATCAACACAGACAGTGTTGACAGTGGAATCCCTCCCGACAAGACATTGTGCTTTCATGGTGGGGGGTGGGGAAAACACAGTTATTATTGCTAGTGACTATAACTGCTGCTAGCGACAATCACATTTAAAATCTGGCAGGGTTGATCCATTCTGTCTGACCATACATTGTTCGAATCTCATCTGGTTCAGCAGGAATTTGAACAGTCTATGGTTGTCTTTAGTGATATCTCAGCACAGTGGCTAAGTAGTTAGCACTTACACCTATCCACCTATCAGCACTAGGGTCATCAGTTCAAACCCCAACCATGGCCCTATCTACATGGAGTTTGCATATTCTGCCTGTGCCTGCATGGGTTTCCTCCCTCACTCCAAAGACTTGTTGGTAGGTTCATTAGTTCTAGTATGTGTATGTATGAATGTGAGTTAGGGACCTTAGATTGTAAGTTTCTTGAGGGCTGGCATAGATGTGAATGCAGGGGCGGACTGACCATTTGGAAACTCAGGCACTGCATGATGGCCAGGGGTCAGTAGGGGCCCCATGAGATGCCCCTGGTACCTTTTTCATAGGCTTTTTTGAGTTTTGGGCAAGGACACAGGGGCCCCATGATCCCCTATTGCCCGGGGGGCCACATGAGTTGTCAGTCCGCCCCTGTGTGAATGTATAATAAATATGCATAGCATTGTGTAAATTACCAATTACTAAAATAATAATCTCTTTATCACCCAGTAGAAAGTATTAAAAGTGCCCAGGACAATAAAAGAAAAGAGAATTACCTTCCACAGTTGCCTATCTGGAACCTGTACCTGTACCAATTTCCCCCATTTTTCCTTTTATAAAATTTTTCAGCATAGCATTAACAAGGTATCCTTTATTATTGCACCACATTTGCACCTGCCAGTAACTTATTTCTTGTCCTTGGGGCATGTTGCTCACACACCATTTGGTATTTATGGAGGGGCAACATTGTGACCCTAGGATTTTGACTTCATCGTCATTACATTGGTGGAGGTGTTTTATATTCCAGGCAGATAGCTGGGAGCTATGCTGACAAAGACGTAGAAACCACAGAAATGTTTTTAGCTAACAAGATTTCTGGCATCAGCAGGTATGTTTTTTTTGTACAGTTCTAAAATGATGGTGGTCTATTTAACAGGCAGTTAGGGAGCAAATAAGAGAAGTTGATTGTTAGAGTTTATATTGAATTTTAACCTATATAAGATCTTCAACTGTGGCACAGAAATTGAATGTTCAAAGGACATAATGATAACATACTGTAAGTATATTTTCTTCTCCATCCAGCTACTGAAATTAAAATATAATGGGGTTACACACATAAACACACACTTTAAATATTAATATTGAGCTGTAATTAGCTAGCACACACTTTAAATAATAATATTGAACTGTAATTAGCTATAGGTAATTAACATATGCTCATTCAACTGTGTTTTAGCTGCAGAAAGAACAGTTAAGCTGTGAATGCTTCTTATTATGAGGTATTAGATTTTGCACTGTGGGTAGATGATGTTAAGCTTGTATAAAAGATCACAAGGGATATGCCATGCTCAGAACTCTCATTATTCTAAATGTAACAAAAATTGTGAATCATTTCATAATCACATCCAGGTTACCACTCTCTAGTTTACTGCAAATACGGTTCTTTTTTTCACCTTTGTTTTATTTAAATGTCCTTGTGCCAACTGGGAAAAGCTTCTCTTAAAGTTTTGGCAACAACTGTGTTGTACAGCACACAAATCATTGTTTGCTCTCTGCTCTGAGAAATGCAAGTTGACTTTTATTCACTATCTTGAAAGATTAGTTTAAAAAAAAATCACGAGTTGTGGTACAGAAATATTAAGTGACAAAGCAGTTTTTAAAATGACAGTACGCAAATAAACTTAAATTAAGGTAACAATGCAATCCTTACGAGTATATAGGAGGGATTTTCAATTTCAATGGTTTTTATTAAATTTTTTAAACAGTATAAACAGAGGCAGTAAAACACGCCCACGCAGGGGCTATCAATTGCACAGATAAACAAAATGCCAAATAAAAAAAAAAGGGGAAAAACAATGCTCTAAATGCCAACAGGGCAAAAGGTTACGCCCACGCAGGGGCTAATATCAAAGGCACATAAGTTACAAAACATTAATGTAACTGATTATAACAACTAAATGCAGCTGTCCTAGTCACACCAAAAACAGAGAGAGAGAGAAAAAGGAAAAAAAAGAAAAAAAAAAAAAAAAAAAGGGAGGGGGGGGGGGCAAAGAGCAGGGATTCAAGAGCACCAACACCGAACGCCATTACATCCCCAACTAGCCGGGAGAGTGAGGAAGGCATATTGCAACCACGGCTCCCATATTTTCAAAAATTTACGTTGGGAGTCATTGCGGATACTCGACATCTGTTCGTTGAGCATCATAGTGGTCATACGATCCCGCACCCCCTGAAGAGGGACAAACGGACTCCTCCAGGCCTGAGCAATTGTTCTAGTGGCGGATAAAAACAGATAGGAAAGCCAACTTCTGAGTGAGCCAAGAGGCCCGGTATGGGGCAATGAAGCAAAGCATACCGAACATCCCGGCGTATGGAGAGATGGAACAAAGTGAAAAGGAGGCCAAATACACGAGACCAAAAACGAAACAGTCTCGGCATGACCACCAGATATGCAATACATCACCACGATGACCACAACCCCGAAAACATCGATCACTACAGGCAGGGTTAGCCCGGGCCAACCGAGCCGGAACCCAGTACCAACGAAACAAAACCTTATAGGCTGCCTCCAGTGTGGTCGTATTAAATGAGCATTTAGCTATGAGTGACCAGGCCTTATTCCAGTCCTCCGGATCCACAGCCACTCCCAGGTCGCGCTCCCCACTGAACAACATATGAAAGAGAAGTATGCGATGAGCGTCTGTTCAGAGCTGCATAAAGAAGGGATATAAGGCCCGGAGCGCCCGGGACGCTGTTGGCAAAGGCTGTTCAAAGGCAGATTTCTGGTACGGGAACTATAGGAGGGATTTTCAATTGCCAGATGCTCTATAATTGCAGCACACTCAGTCAACTTAGAAGGTATAGGCAAAATTAATTACCAGTAACATGGCACAGCCACATTAACATGAAGTCAGGCATTGCCTGAAAATTTAGCAATTTTAATGTTTACCAGAAAGGTTGATATATCTGAGTGTGTTTAACTATTGGTGGGGAGCTCATGAGGACAACTCAGTCTAATTTTCACACAATTGTTATGCCAAACTAGCAGTGGTAAAAGAACGTAAAACCTTAATGTCCCTTTAAAACCGCCTCCCGCCCGCCATACAGTCCAATGACGGATGCAAGGCGGTTCCCTCATTCTGGAGGATGTCATATGATGTCCTCCCATTCTCACCGCGCATGCGCGGCTCTGGGAGCGTGCAACGCGGCGATCGGCGGTGCGCTGTGTCCCTCGGACACAGCGGATCACCGATCCATGGAAAGAACCAAAGATGTCGGCTCGGTCATGTGACCAGCTGTGTCCAATCACAGCTGATCGCATGTAAACAGGGAAATGCCCGTTATTGTCATTTCTCTCCTCACGAGCTGTCACGATGACAGCTCGTGAGGAGAGGAGAGCCGGTAATCGGCATTCCTCAGAGGGGACATGTACACTGATCATCATGGCACTGATGATCAGTGTGCCCTGATGATCAGTGTAGCCCCAGCAGTGCCACTTGTCAGTGTCCATCAGTGCCAGCTCTCAGTGCTCATCCATGCCACCTGCCAGTGCCCATCAGTGCTACATCCATGCAACATGTCAGTGCCTACCAGTGCACATCAATGCCACATAGTGCCCATCTGAGCTGCCTTTTAGTGTCACCCATCATTTCAGTCAGTGCCACCTATCAATGCCATTCAGTACCACCTATCACTGCTGTCAATCAGTGCCACCTATCAGTGCCAGTCAGTGCTACCTATCAGTGCCAGTCAGTGCCGCCTATCAGTGTGCATCAGTGCTGCCTATCCGTGCCCGTCACTGCTGCCTATCAGTGCAGCCTAACAATGCCAGTCAGTGTTGCCTATCAGTGCCAGTCAGTGCCTGCCTATCAGTGCCGCCTATCAGTGCTGCCTTTCAGTGCCCATCAGTGATGCCTGTCAATGCCCATCAGTGCCACCTACCAGTTCCTCCTGGTCAGTGCCCATCAGTACCACCTATCAGTGTCCATCAGTGCAGCCTATCAGTGCCCATTACTGTGGCCTCATTAGCGCACATTAATGAAGGAGAAAAATCACTTATTTACAAAATTTTATAACAAAAACTAAGAAAAAAAAATCTTTTTTTTTTTTTCAAAATTTTGTTGTTTTTAGACCTTGGTGATTTCACAGGAGTAATAAGATAACAGATTCAAAATTTCCAGCTTTTTTTTTCAAGGAAGTCTTTTGAAGTTCATAATATATAATCCCAAAAGGTGCATAGTGGCATGAAGCAGTAAAGAAACTTTAAGGCAATAGGAAAATATTTTAGCTAAGCTATAGCTATAGCTTAGATTTTTAGTTTTCCAGAATGAACAGCAGCAAATAATTTAAAATTTACCAACTATTCCCTCAATCTGACATAGTACTCTTCTTCTATACATTAACAACCACTGATACACCAGTACTTAATACTGACAGTTTTTTATTCCCCTAAGGATATCAGTCCATCAGAGCAGGCATGTAAAGTGGAAATCCCATGGCAGAAGCCCTGTGGGTGCGTGGTCCCATGACATCAAGACAGCATGACTGAGACCAATCTATTTAGTCCAACAGTACCCTAGAAGATGTTGCAGAAGATGTAACCTTGCCTCTTCTCTACGTTCTATACCCCACACAAGGCAACTATTTTGTCTTCCTAATTCTGGAAAAACTTCTGGAGCATTGTTGGTACACAAAAATGTGTGATGGCCCCATAGCACACTGATGTTTTTTATGGAGAAAGGGGATATGACCTAGGACCAGGTACATGAAGCACCCCTCTGCTGCTAAAAGGCATACAGACTGGCAGTGTGGCAAGAGATCTGCATGTTTAAGACCCTTAGCTTATCAGCAAAAATGTAGTTTGTTCTTGGCTGATTTTTATTTTTTTTGGGGGGATTTTATTTTTGTAAATAGCAAACATCCCAAAAGAAACAAAAAAGAAAAAAAGCCGTTTAACCAATACTGGCAGATTAACATTGGATGAGTCTATGTTTCATTACAGGCTGATCATGCACCTTTTTTCAAAATTTTAGGGTGATATAGTTTCAGCCCTAACACTCTTAATGGGATAAACTCATAGATACACTTTTATTTCTAAGAATTCTCTATTAAACTCTATGTAATAGTAGTGTATACTGTTTTGAAAATATGTTGCTTCATATGCATAAAAGAACAATAATAAAATATACTGCATTATAAATCAAAAAGCAAGCTCATTAAATAAAACAAGCACAAAACATGGTCTTGACTAATTTCCTTGTACCCTTCATTCACAGCCTTCTTCATATAGTGTCAAATGGCTGGAATCAATAGAATTGCATTTTCAGTGAATCATGATAGTAGCCGCATTTCAGATTGCCCTAAGCAATTTTACTTACAGTATTTTGCCATATAATTCAAAGTTGCTGAGTAAGTGGTACCTGCAGCTTTAATGTGATTAATATTGAACTTGAAGGGAAACTGTTCCCAGATGCTCTGAGCCTGTGACATAAATTCTGTTCAGGAATGATCAATATTTATGAATTGCATTAATTGAAGACAGAAAAGCACTGAGGGGAAAAGCTGTATGTAGAGGAACTGGTGCCTTCTGTTAAGTATTATGAAGAACAAATTAGAGGTGTATTAGCAATGTGTTTGTTAAAACAGCTTACTGTGTATTTAATGTTGAATGAGGTATGCTTTTTAATTAGCATAATTGGATAAGCAGGTCGCATACAAACATTATGAAATTCAAACACATATTCTTAAAGGCAAATTATATCTTTTTATGGACTAAGCACATATTATTTGTAAACAGAATTAATATTCTAAATATGCAAAGACTTAAAAATACATTGGTTTAACTGGGACATAAACTATAGGTCTTAAACTTTAGGCAATGTATAACTTTCCATGTGTAGAAGTCTTGACTTGTCTCCAAAATGATATGTCCAACTAATTCAGTTTTGTTATAGTCTAGACAAATATAATATAGATGTATAAGGCATGAGAGAAGTATCATTTCGGGAAACCATGAATGAGAAAATAGGCAGCAGTTTTGAAGGTTATTAATACATCTTCTACGCCTTTTGTCAGGGAGACATTTTTTGTACTTAAAATGGAAATTCCCCCAAAAGTGGAAGTTCCCCTCTTCCTCACTCCCCCTGCAATATTTGGAATATATTCTTTTGGGGGGGGGTAGCAAGTACCTAGTTTTGACAGCTACCCACTCCCACTTCCACTCACCTAGGCAATCCAATTGGAAGTTCTCCTCCCCACTTCCTGCCCACAACCTTCTGGGACACATCACAGGTACCATAAAATTGTGGGACCATTCACAAAGTGCAGCTCTGCTTGCATATGCACAGAGGGAAGCCGGCTGTGAAGCCCCAAGGAGTCTCAGCCAGCTTCCCACAGTTAAAGTGTTACTAAACCCACAACAGTAAAATCACCCTGTATATGCAGTAAAGCATGATTGTTATACTCACTGTGGAACCTAAGGGGTTAATCCTCTGCATTGTGAAAACAGGCTGTTTGATCCTTTCTTCTCTGTTCCTCCTCTTTTTCAAGCAACAACTCTTATCTCCAGACTGAACAATAGGCATGCACATGCTCAGTTTGATGTGTATTGCTAGAAAGGTTTTTATTTTCTTGGGAAAGTGCATGTGATCAGCACAGAGCCAATAAGCACTGGCCATAAGGGGTTTTGCATCCTCCTAGACCAGAAAGAAAACTCTCCTACACTCTTTAGCTAGTGGTGGGCTGGACACTGACAGAAGTCACAAGACTGCTCTAACTTCTGATTAGAAAATGTATTTAGCAGTTTATATTTACTAAAATAATTGCACTTCCATGTTCTGTGTACTGTGGGAGACCAGATACAGTGAGTGTAGGGTCCTGGGTTTAGTAACACTTTAGCATGCTAGATGTCAGGGACCCGAACACTGGTCAAGAATCGGCCTGGGTGAGGTTGGTGATAGATCCTTGGAGATGTGAGTGTGTGCTTATTAAGAGTCAGCAACTACAGTTTTTGTAGCTATTGACTTTTACTTTTTGCAGAACTGACTGAAGATCCTCTTTAAGACCTAAATCATATAAATTAAATTATGCACAATTAGCTTAAATCTCAACTTCATACCTTTTTTTTTGAGCGTCAAAGTGGAATAATTGCAACCTTTATTTTTATTGCAGCTTGTGTGCCTGCTCTGGAGGTTGTCTTCTGCCATTTGTCCTAGTGCTAAAACCAGAGCATATGAGGGTAAATCTCCCCAAGAAGGTCACAGACAGCAATAAAAATCTGGCAAAGGTTCTTGCCCTTCACCATTGCACTAAAAAAAAGTTTTGCAGCTGTTTGTGTCCTCATTGAGGAGATATTTACTGATTCCAGTATATCTAATGGGTGTCAGACACAACAGCAACTGAGGAAAATCTCTGAAGTAGACATAGACAGAAATAAAACCTGACTAATCCATCCCCACTCTATCCAAAATTAAAACAATAGGCTTTTGAATTAAGCTTGGAACACCTAGTAAGATACAGCATAGGTAAGAAAATAAAAAACTGCTACAAGTACCTAGAGGTGTCAGAAGCCTCCCAAAACACACTATTATGTGAGAGCCATTTTAACATGAAGAACCTATATGCTAAAGATGGTTTGCACCTAAATTGAAAGGCTAGAAGAATATTTAAGCTTGGATTGAGGGGGGAATGTGAATTAAAATTTAATGGGGCAGACAGGGGACAGACAGTGGTCGGTGTAATTGGGTAAGGTAGGGTGAGGGCTATGGCAGGTAATAAGAAGGTTCCCCTGCTACAAACAACCAATGGTCAGTGGAATGGGGGAAGATGGGGGGGATGGCTATGGCAGGTGATAGGAAGTTTCCCCTGCTACAAACAACCATTGGTTGTTACAAACAACCATTGGTCGAGAATGATGGAAGTGGGGAAGGGCTATGGCAGGTGATAAGAAGGCTAATCTAATACAAACAACTATTGGAAATGAAAGAACTTTTTGTACTAAAAAAATATGCAAAACATAAGCGCAAAACAATGAATTAAAGTGTTTGTTTAACAATGCCAGAAGTCTGCCAAACAAATTAGGAGATCTGGAAGCATTGGTGCATGAAGAGAACTATTATTTAATTGGTATTGCTTAATCTTGGCTTCATTCTTCACTCAATTGTGCTATTCATATTCCTAGCTATGCTATCTTTTGGAAAGATGGGTAAAAAGTAAAGATTGTGGTGTCTGCCTTTATGTGAGAAGTGATCTCAAAGAGAGTGTGAAAGAGGACCCCTTTTGATGAAGAGTGTGATGGTGCTGAAGCATTATAGGTAAAGCTGCATATAGTTCCAGAAATTTGCATGTAAAACATCATAGTTTTGTATGTGCTTTTTGTATAACTGTTTGCTCTATGACCAATGGCATGCATACGGTTAGCAATGGTTTGTGTTCCAAGGGCATGCAAGAACCCAATTCAGTACGCAACATGTAATAAGGCAGAAACCTGAATGAGCTTGCACAGTGGCTTATATTGTGACAACTGATATTGCATTTTGGGATAAAAAGTCACTTCATGCCATGATCTTCAATGGAGTTATACTGATGATGAACCATGATGCCCTAATATATATAGTGTAGTATGGATGACTATTTGATGTTCTATGCTGCTTGTTTTACAGTATATGATAATTATACAGCACTGTGAAAGTGCACTTT